CTGCTTAATGAATACCTAGGTAGCTTCAAAATAATGCTATAGCTTTCAAGGGTTTTTCTTTTTTCTTTTTTTTTTTTAATTATTATTATACTTCAAGTTCTAGGGTACATGTGCATAACGTGCAGGTTTGTTACATATGTATACTTGTGCCATGTTGCTGTGCTGCACCCATCAACTCGTCAGCACCCATCAATAAAAAGTTTCTTTACTTGGTAATTGGAATTGCATACTCTTTTAGTTGTGGATTGATTTTCTTTGAATGAACCATGTTAGTATTTGAAAAATCAGCATAAGGCCAGGAGTGGTGGTTCACACCTATAATCCCAGCACTTTGGGGGGCCGAGGAGAGAGGATCGCTTGAGCCCAGGAGTTGGAGACCAGCCTGGGCAACATAGCAAGACCCTACCTCTAGAAAAAAAAAAAAAAAGATAAACTGGGCATGGTGGTATGTGCCTGTAGTCCCAGCTACTTGGAAGGCCGAGGTGGAAGGACCACTTGAGCCTAGGAGGTCAGGGCTGCAGTGAGCTGTGATCACACCATTGTACTCCAGCCTGGGTGTAAAAGAAAAAAAAAGCAGGGGGGCGAGAGAGAGAGAGAGAGAGAGGAGAGAGAGAGAGAATGCAGCATAAATATGCCATAAAATTAACTTCTACAAAATAATTATATTTTAAATGAGAATTGCTGGGCATACTGGTACATGCCTGTAGTCCCAGCGACTTGGGAGGCTGAGACGGAAGGATACCTCGAGCCCAGGAGTTCAATGCCAGCCTGGGCAACATAGCAAGACCCCCAACTTTAAAAAAAAAGAACAGGAAGAGAAAAAAGGAGATGAGAACAGTAGCATTATATCAGTAAGTGAGGCATGTTTGTCAATTCATAGGCTCATTTTTGCTCATGATTTGAGGCTAATATTTTCTTCTGAGAAATGTATGTATCTCTGGTATTGCTATTGAATAGCCCAACTGTGGTTTTATAACTTATAATCATAAATGTGTTCTTAAATACTTACACTTATGAAGCCTTTACACTGAGCTTGCTTAATGATTTTAGTAAATCTTAACACTTTTCAAAAGATGAATGAGTAGAATGAAGTTGGCAACTTATTTTTTTATGTTTTAGAGTTAAATAGAATATCTTATGTTACACACATACACCCCCAGTTTTAACTGAGTACCTTAGAAGATTTCTAATTTCACCATGTATGTCACTCATGGTTTTAGGAAAGCCATCTCTTTATTTATTTATTTTTGAGATGGAGTTTCACTATTGTTGCCCAGGCTGGAGTACAATGGCACCATCTCAGTTCACTGCAACCTCTGCCTCCTGGGTTCCAGTGATTCTCCTGCCTCAGCCTCTTGAGTAGCTGGGATTACAGGCGCCCGCCACCACGCCCAGCTAATTTTTGTATTTTTAGTAGAGACAGGGTTTCACCATATTGGCCAGGCTGGTCTCAAACCCCTGACCTCATGTGATCCACCTGCCTCGACCTCCCAAAGTGCTGGCGTTACAGACATGAGCCACTGCGCCCAGCCCCATCTCTTTTTTTTTTTTTTTTTTTTTTTTGAGACGGAGTCTCGCTCTGTCGCCCAGGCTGGAGTGCAGTGGCCGAATCTCAGCTCACTGCAAGCTCCGCCTCCCGGGTTTATGCCATTCTCCTGCCTCAGCCTCCCCAGTAGCTGGGACTACAGGTGCCCGCCACCACGCCCGGCTAGTTTTTTTATTTTTTAGTAGAGATGGGGTTTCACTGTGTTAGCCAGGATGGTCTCAATCTCCTGACCTCGTGATCCACCCGTCTCGGCCTCCCAAAGTGGGATTACAGGCTTGAGCCGCCGCGCCCGGCCCCCATCTCTTTTTTTAAAGTGTCGATGGAATCATTTTCCTATCTCGTATATCTCCCCACCGTCAGGCTGTGCCAGGGCTTAGGTAGAGATGCTGCTTCTCTTCCTGCCTTGTGTGGCAAGTTTCTTTGCAGCAGACCTTTCAGATATTTGTCCCCAGTCACAGATGGCAGCCTGACTGTTTTCAGGGGAGCTAGTCATTGATTCTCACTCAAGGAAAATGACTGCGGCAGGCCTTCTCTTCAGTTTCAAGGTTGGGTGTCTGGTACATGGTGACTGTTTGTTTTCTTTTAGCTCTGTGCTAAACTTGGAGTTTTAGCTTGATTCTAGTTTTGCTCCATCTTTTTCAGTGACTTGGGGCTGCTGAGTGCTTACCTGACTCCTGGCTTCAGCTTATCGTTTCTATATATCATGAATCTTGCTCCATTTTGTTATGCTTTTCTTTGCCTCAGTTTGCCCAATTCCTGCTGACCACCCCATTCTTCCAGACTACATTGCTCACCAGCCCCGCTTCACAGCAAATAGAAATCAGAAATCAGGCCTTCATCACAGGACATAAGAAGTATATCCTAGAAGAAGCTACAGGCTGCTACGGGTTTCCAATCTTTAGGCCTAGGCTGTTTGTATCATCTAAAATGTAGCAGTTATAGTTAGGGTTCAGCGCTGGTCACAGCCTAACCTTCCTGTTGCCCTTCACTGCCGTCTGGCTGCATTAGCAGTGTCTCAACACACTGAATTTTTTTTTAATTAGTATCTACTATTCTTTCAGTGTCTACTACCTGTTTTTCTTAAGCCCACCCTTCTGGATGCTGCTTCATATATCTTTCTATTGCAGCCACTTTGACATGGAGTTTTCCAATCTGGCTACTGTCAGTGCCTGCAAGCAAGCCAGAGCCAGAATTTTTATAGATTTGTGTTTGAATAAAGCCCAGCTCTACGAGTACAGCATCAACTCAGTTACCTTACTATTAACACCCTACTCAACAGCTGGGCTCCATCTCCTAACCTTTAGAGAAAGGAATGAGGCATTGAAGCTGTTCTGTTTGTGCCAGGGTCTGAAGTAAGATACGTGAGACTAACTTGGCCTTTCAGCTGTCCGAGTAGTATTGTGTACTCTGAAATCCCATTCCATGTGTATAAACTGATGGCTTAGACCTATTAGTCCATTTTATCTGAGGCCTTTGTACCCTCAAAAAAAGAATGAAGGCCTGGAGACTCTGGTTTCTTCCAGTGTTGCTTTCCCTTTCCCTTAAATTAGGGACGTTTTTGCTCAAGTAGGGTTCCTGGGTGTGAGGTACCATTTATATGACTCTTCATCCCAAGCTTTAGCATCAGAGGGAACTTTGAAGGTTCTTCCTTAGAGGGAAATCTTAGTCTGAGCAGCATCTCTGCACTGCTTTGGCTTTTTGCCCTGCTAGAAAGTTCATTCTTTTGGCAGTTATTAGACCACCACCTAGACTCATTAAGGATGCATCATTAATTAATCTAAGTGCCCTGGAACCTTCTTGAGTCTGAAATTGGATGTGAACCTACTTATTCCCATATACCTTAAAGTCTGCCAGGAAGATGTAGACAGATCTTGCCTGGACTCCTCACTCC